ATATTTTATATTATGAAAAATAAAAAAACATCATAGTCGAAATCCTTAAAATAATTCATTTTAAATATTTTTTGACATATTTTGTAATTTTTATGGAAAGTAAATTAGGAAATAATTTGAAGCTGAAGATGATGGTGTTGACTGATATTCTATGGATTGTATTAGGTGCACAATGGAAACTGTACTTAATTAATTACATATGTGCGAAAAATGAAAAATAACTTGAAGATTTTTAGGTAAGATAATATTTTTTAAATTTATTTTCTAACGAGGAAAACGAAGCGTTAAGAAATGAATTTGCAGCAGTTTTAAAAATTCAAAAGCATGCTTCTAGCAGGGTGTCTAACTGTGCTAAACTGTATTTGCCCAAGCCATCTATTTGACTTATGTTTGATTATTCTGACATATTCATTGTTATTGGAAAGCGTCTTCAAACATCAAGATTCATTTGTGAATTTTCAGTTGCAATTTTAGAGTCTTTAACTTTGAACAAGTGTCGCATTTATATCAATAGAATATTTAAGGCAACCACCAGCTGTCTTATGCTACTCTGAACTGTGATACAAATATCTGAGACTAAGAGGACAACAGAGTATGCTCAGTTGCCATTAAGATATTAATATCCTTTCATTGTAATTTTTCTGCCTTTGAAACCTTTCGAACAATGACTGCATTTCCAAATTTCAATTTCTAATAATTCTCTTCTTATACCTTTTAGCAAACACCTAAAATAATCCTCGATTCTTTTCGACCTGCGTCATATTTTTACATATATTGAATTCGATTTACAACATGTCTAATTTAGTACCTATCTATTTTAGTTTAGATTGCTGCCTATATTGTTCTCCAATACTTTGCTCCTTTTCCAAATTTTATTCTTAGTTTTGACGTACATTCTCAATGTTCATAAGTCTAAAAAGAATTCTATGGTTTGTAATGAACAAGAAGTATAAACTAAATCAACACTGAATTTTTTCCCTTTCCAAGTGAAAATCTTTGTCACTGCTGCCATGACAGACTTTTAGTTATCTATTTTCAAACTCCTAAAGTCAATTTTTTTTAGTTTTATGGTGCAGAAAATGATATAGTAAAGATACATTTCATAAAAATTAAAAGATTTTTAACGACAAGGTTGCAAATGATAAAGTTTTGCAGAGTATGCGAAAAGAAGAATTTTCTGATACGATGGAACGGGACAAATTTTATGTGTTTGGGAAGTTTAGGCAACTGCCTTACCGCAAAATACCACTCACATCTAGTTTCCATTTGTCTTAAGAAATTATTGCAAAGGAGTGGAAATAATCATCAAGTGCTAACCAATTGATTATATTGTCACGGTTAGGTATTAGTATATTTCCATTCATGATCAATGCTCAAACTGCCAGACAACTAACATGCTGAATAAAAATCGATTTCATCTTGACACTTTTTTTTACAGATCCTTGTCTACTTTTCAATTTGTTCTGCACTTGACGTGGCTTTCATGAACAAATTAACTTCCCAGGTAGGCTGCTATGATGTATGGACTATTATTATTCTTATCGACAAAAATATTCACCGTAATTGAAATTTGTTGAAATGTTAGAGAGATTATTTTGGTAGACACCACCCAGCAAAAATCCTAACTGCGAAAGGTAAGCTAATTTTGTCAAGTGAGCTACATAATATTTATTCCAGAGTATATATCTGGACAAATCCCACAATAGACAGCTTAAAATACATTTGAAGAACTTTTACAATTTTTAAATTTTACTTTTTTTTAAATATTATTTGTTCCTATCTGTTCATACCGCACTGTACAGGATTAGTATTCAACAAGAGTTTTTATTATTCCTTAGCATTTTGCATTCCCTTACCGTAACAGGCTAAATTTCCCTAGTATCTCCTGCCGTAATAAAAATGATAAGTATAAATAATTATTAAATATATTTTATTTTATAATATCTTAAATTTACAGGTACCCACTTCAGCAACCGTTGGTCCTCCTTCCTCACCATTAGGATAGATATTCTTGTCCAGCTCGTTTTTATCGTAGCGTAAATACACCTCCTTCTTGCTAAGAAACAATAAAAGGTAAAATTGACGATATATTAATAAATAATAGATTGTATAATCATAATTTATAAGTAAGCAATATATTTCCAAATGGTATTTTTTAATGAATTTTGAGATTTTAAAAATCGGTTCAGGATTTTTTGCTAATACGTGGACATTTGTTTTTTGCAATTATCTGCCTATAAAAAAATGGTTTGATCGAACTTCGCGCAAACCAGATGAATGCCAGGATGCGAGTTCTTATCAAGGGGGCGCCCATTAACCCAATTTCAAAATTTTTCAAAATTGATCACGAATGGCCGAGGTCGTAATGGTACGGTTTAAGCCAGAATAATAGTTCGAGGTTCGTCAGTTCGAACCCCGATAAATCATGATTTTTGGATCTGTCCCCCTTTTCCCTAGTGATACGTGGTGATATTTAAAATAACTACCCCCTCCCCCACTCAATACCCGTTTAGTACCTAGGAAGAACTTTGAATTTTTGGATTTTTTTTTAATTTTTTGATTTTTTAAATTCGGGTGAAAAATGAATACGCGAGATATCATACTATAGTACTTTCCCCCACGTGAAATTTTTCCGATTTTGTGTTTTTTTTATTTTTTTGCTTATGGTTATTTTTAAAATCGTGTATAACAAATAAAATATTTTTTTGCAGTATATATTTTAGATTTTTATACTTTTATTTTTTAATTGTTCTGGTGCTAAAACGTCTAATTCGCGAGGTCGAGCTTTAAATTATACATTACAAGCATCTTGCTCTTTCTAAATAAATCTTCAAGAATAAAAAAATAGAAATAACGACTATAAATGATTAATAAGTATAAATAACGTCAAGTGTAGTATTAAGGAAATGATCTGAATGGGACTTCTCACGAAAGTGATCAAACATTATGCGAAATTGATTTATTTCTAACTAAACTTATTAAATATACGTAAAAGCCTTTTATGGAGTCGCCTCTTTATTACTTTGACACTTATCAGCTGATTTGCTTAACACCTGTTAATTTGGAGAAAACCTTACAATTATATATTCTTCATCTTGCTATTTTTTGGATACAAACATTCGCTGTACAATTGAGGATATACGAATAATAGCAAGTCTATCTTACAGGTTACTGTCAAATCGCCGATCTTCAGCTTTTAATAATTGCAAAAAAACAAATTTTAACAAAAGCAGATTATTTGGTTACCTGATAACGACATCCTCGGATTTTGTATTGCGTTTATTCATTTTGAAACCTTCATTTGGATTCATATTCGGACAGATTACAAATTGTTTTCCCAACTCGATAGCTAGAACACTTTCATTTATTTTTGTCTCCTTGCTAAGTTGATTAACCTATATAAACAAATTTTTACCATAGTAACCACTGATATTTGAACAATTTTTTCTCGAAAAAATTAGCTACAGTATGCTATGTGCAAATGACACTTATTTTACATTTTTATTAGTTTAACATATATTGCACTCTGAAAAGAGCCTGAAATAATATTTATTTATTATCAATTGCTTCTTGTTTATGAGTAAATAAACAGGCATAAGCTATTTCTTCGGCAAAAAAATTATATGATTTATTACAATTTTCACATAATAGGTAGGTAAAAAAGTCAGAGATAAGTGAAAAATTGATTTACATTAACCACTACATTTTTTTATATAAATTACAATCAGTATCTATATATAGAAAGACATTGTGTAATTAATTTCATCCCAGAAAAATCCAGTAGTGGTTTACCTTTTATTAATGTACTAAATTATGTCTAAATTTAGTTTTGGTTTATCATTTACCATTAAAAAATAATGTAAAAATTATTTATTTAGATTTTAAAATTATTTTTTTCCATTCCACATAATCGAGGAACCATATAAAAAGCAAAATTATTAGGCAAAATTTAAAAAAAATAAGAGTAATTATTTAAATGAATGATTTACTTTGGATTTTGCTTTGAACCACATCTTAATAATTACCTAATTAATATAATTTCGGTGCTATTAGCTTAAACTATATTAAAGAATACAAATAAAAAACCCTTAAATTTATTTTTTATCTACTATGCCTATAACAGCTTGATATTTGTATTTTATACAATATTTTTTAAATTAAGAAATTTAACTTAAATCAATTTTTGTAAATTTAAGTATATTCTCTTCTACTACATAAAGCTCTTTATTTCGAAGATTCAATAACAAATTGTTTTTAAATAGAATTTTAAAATTGAAATATTTTTGTAGAAATTTAAAGATATTGCATAATAAATTAACTAGTACTCAAAAACATCAACAAAATTTTAATAATAAATAAGAAAACAGTTTTCATACTCAATTATATTAAAATGGCTATGCATTATTCATTTAACATTTATGTTTATTTCATGGCGGAATATTTGCTATTTTGTTAATAATAATTCTACAAATATACAAAATTCTACAAAATATTTATAAATTATATTACTTACTTATTATTGTTAGTAATGTACTACATTACTGCATCGGCATCAACTTAAATGCATGTTTACTTCACTAATTAAAAGTCACTTTATTAATCAATTCATTTTTACAAAACTGCTTTGGGTATATTTTTTGTATTTTGAAATGAAATATTTAAATCGTATGCATATACTATATATCGTAAGTTCACTAAATATAGATCTATATATTAATTATTAATTAAGTTTCTATTTCAGGAAAACATAAAAGGTCTGAATAATGAATATATATGCAGCCATGTCATTTCCACCTGTGCACAGTGGATGATGTACGTAGTAATGTAACCTGTATCTTTATTAATTTTTTAATAATAAGAAAGAATATTTCATATTTTCAAATACTATTTCATACTTCGCGCTCCGCGAATTTTGCTAGATCATTGCTACCAATGCCAAAAGACTAATTTTTTGACATTTGACAAGTTGCACTAGTTGCTTTTCAATCCTTTCAATAGTCAAAATGGCAGATATTGACAGGTGGATTGAAATAGCTAAAAATTGTAAATATCTGCCTGAGACTGAATTAAAAAATTGTGTGATTTAGTTTGTAGTTTGTTATTAGAGGAATCAAATATCCAACCCGTCAGGACACCAGTTACAATATGTGGAGATATTCACGGACAGGTATTCTAACCTAAAAAAAATTACGTTTGACATGTTATCTTGAATTTAAATTAAATAAATTCAAGGTAATAAAATGTATTTTTAATCCAATATAATCTATTAGTATCAGTATGGTATTGAATTTGTCAAGTACTATGTATTTCAAACACAATTTTATTTGTAACACTTATAACGAATCTTGTAAACACAACTACAAATTCATTTTTATTGTTTAAAACTGATTAAAAAGTTGAAATAAAGTAGTTTTGAAGCTAATATCTCACCCCTTCATGTTTCTCATTCAAAATTTTAATCAAATTTAATTCAATATTAATACTTTCAAATATATATATATATATATATATATATATATATATATATATTTTGATGACTCATAGCCAGAATGAAACCAGTTGTCAGTTGATAAAAAAATTGAGAAAAATGGATTAATTAAAGCTGAAAGGTGATTATTTTAAATGTTTAAATTATGCTTTATTTTTTAGTTTTACGATTTAGAAGAATTATTTCGATGTGGTGGACAGGTTCCTGATACGAATTATATTTTTATGGGAGATTTTGTTGATCGTGGTTATTATAGTTTGGAAACATTAACAAGACTAATGACATTGAAAGTGAGTATACTTTGCAATGCTTAAAGAACTACAATTATAGTATAGATGAAAAATTTAGATTTATTTTTTCTCACAACCATTTGAATATGCTTAAAAATACTTCATAATATCTGATAAAACATGTTTCAAAATTGATTTTTAGTGTGGATTTATAGTTGAATAAATGTTTTCATGGGGTTTTATTGATCAGTATTACTGTATTAAGTGTACAATGTATTACTAATATTATATGAAGAGTTGCAGTATATAAATAAATATTCAAAAGTATGAACAGAGAATATGAATACCTTCACACATGAAAGTGCAGTCAAAATAAAATTCTTATCTAACCCTGAACAATATTTTCATACAAAAGTGGGCGTCACTACTGCAGTTATGAAATCTAATATCCTTTGTATAAGTTAACATGAATTACGTTTGCTGGTAATTGATTAAGTAGATTTGATAGTTTTTTTTTTAATTTGAAGGCTAATCATCACTTCATAAATATTGAAAAAATTGGTTAGATTGAAGCAGTGATTTTCAAATTGATAGAGATATGTTGAACTAATCATTGCGAATATATGGCCAATTATATTTTTGTATAGGGTTTGAGATATGTACACACATTGATTATAATACAGCTATAATTGATTGAACTTTTATGTTTTATTACTTTTAGGCAAGATATCCAGACCGCATTACACTTTTACGTGGAAATCATGAATCTAGGCAAATAACTCAAGTGTATGGTTTTTATGATGAATGTTTAAGTAAATATGGTAATGCTAATCCCTGGAAGAATTGTTGCAAAGTTTTTGATTTACTTACAATAGCTGCGGTTAGTATATTTTAAAAAAACTGTTATAATAAACAACATTAATTAATTGAAGAAAGATCTCTTTTAAAGAACAAATTGATATAGCATTATGTTCAGTAATAATGATATATATTTTCAGATTATTGATGAACGAATTTTATGTGTGCATGGTGGTTTAAGTCCTGATATACGTACTTTGGATCAAATTCGTACAATTGAAAGAAATCAAGAGATTCCACATAAAGGTGCCTTTTGTGATTTGGTTTGGTCTGATCCTGAAGATATTGATACATGGTATGTAAATGAGTTTTTGATTAAATTTCTATGAAAAAATATATTAACTCCAAAGTAGAGATATTTACTTGTTATTTGAAGGGTGAATTAGAGTTACAATGTATATTACTATTATATAACCATATTGTTTACTAGATAATGTTTCATTTTATCAAAGTATGACATAATTATACTTTGACCCTTCATTTTTGCTATATTACCTTTATATGAGGTACATGTTTTAGCACAATTAATTGCATTTTATAAATATATGCTCATATTTAATTATAATTACAAAAACTCTTTTGATCAATTTTAGGTCTGTTAGCCCAAGAGGTGCTGGTTGGCTCTTTGGCGCTAAAGTTGTGGACCATTTTATGAGAATAAATGATTTGAGTTTAATTTGTAGAGCACATCAGTTAGTACACGAAGGTAAGATTTGATGTATAATAGTTTGTAATTTATGTATATAAATATATATTTATTTATCAATGAGTTGATCTTCAAAATGGTATAATTTAATAAATGTACACTCAATTATTAATGTTTATTCTGCAATTACTGCCTTATAAAAGCATAAGTGAAAATTAAGAACTATTAAATTAAATTATATAAATTTTCAGGTTTTAAATATATGTTTGATGACAAACTAGTGACCGTATGGTCTGCACCAAACTATTGCTACCGCTGTGGAAATGTTGCCTCTATATTAAAATTCAACACAACAGAAGAAAGAGAAGCTAAATTATTTCATGCCGTGCCAGATGCTGATAGAGTAATTCCTCCCAGAGTAACAACGCCTTACTTTTTGTAAATTGTTGCATCCGTTAAAATAGACATAATATTCCATAAATCATTAAAGTATTGCCTATTTCTATACTGTACTTGTAAGTAAGTTACATATCTCCGATTTATTAAATTTGTTATATTTTGCGAATAAATATTTTATAAATAATTGGATTAGTTATTGAATAGTGTTACAGGAAAAAGACATGCTTGGTTTAGTTTTTTTTTTAATGAATACATACAATGGAAAGCTGATACATAAAGAATGAATAGTGGCCAAATGTTCTTTATTATTAATAAGTCAGAATATTATTTTAATTGACGCTTGTTTAATCATTATTTTTATGTACACAGAGTTTGCCTCAGAATATTTTTATATTATATATCAGAATGATTACATAAATATGTGATAACAATTGTTTGTATGATACACAAGTAAGAGTCCATAAATTATGTAGTACGTAATCAATATAAGACGTTATTGATCAAATATTATAACCTTTGTAACAAATTCGAATTTAGCGCGTTCGGTTCGTCATTCGTTGCGTTGGAAGAGTGCGCAGCTGTCATTTCATTGATTCCTAAATACATAAAAGGCGCAAATACTGTTATTGTCTCCAAATTTTAATTAAAATTCCTTAAATTGATTAGAACCCATTCAATGCAATACCATGATAAGGAAAAAACTCATGTTTTTAGTAAATATGCGATAATTAAAGTTATCGACACATTGATTGTGTATATATCCCGATAGGACGCTCGCTCTTTCTAACATTCCAGTTAAAAAGAGATAAAAACACAAAAGATATGTTATTCATAATAACACGTTCACTGCCAAGATAGAGTTTACTTGAATCGATTATGGTAAAAGAGTAATTACAAAATTCATTTTAAATGTTAGATTGTAATAAAGAAAACAAAAAACTTTTGAAGCCGTACTAAAAAACATCGTTTTTGTCATTAAATTAGAATATTAAATAACAATTAATTGTCTATATAATAAGAATAAACTGAATCATTTCAAAGTGTAAAATCTATACAGAATAAAAAATAAGCAATTTTTTGTTACATTTTAAAATATGATCATTAAACTATTATTATAAATATACGATCAGAGATTCTGGATATAGTAATATCTTGCTTATAATAATATTACATTAATATTGTTTTATTTATTGCTGTTAAGGTTAAGAGCTTTTTTATTTTAGCATAGAAATTTACCAAAATTTGGGTAAAATCGTACAATAAATAGTAGAATTTGCATAACAAACCGATTTAGACTACATAAATGAATGAGTACCTCCAAATACAATCATTCTAAGGCAGTAAGTGAAAAACTGAAATATTGATGGTAGTGATTTGGGAGTAAAACAAATAAAACTTTGCTTTTCAATGGTGTTTGTAAATAGGTCTTTACAAAATTATGGCCCAACTTTTGAAAAAAAGTTACAAACGTTCAAAAACAAGAAATAAGGCAGAAAATATTTTTTTGTATTTTTGTATTCTATCATTTTAACTATACTTTTCTCTAATTGACCTCATTCGCTTTGACTCTTTCACAGAACATACCTCTATAAATTCTTCTATCTATTTTGCGAATGTGCTGCAACACCATGGTGGCGTTTTACCAGTAAGTATGTTGCAATTCCACCATTCAACATCGTCTTTATTTTAGCATGTTGCACACTAACATCTGGGCTAATGAAGAAAACTTTGCTTTTACAACTTTGCCTGGACAAGATGGGCACTCTGGTGAATTGACGTGGTTTAAGCGGTGTTGATATGCTCGAAAACAGATGTGTTTGGACAACATCTGTGCAAGATAATAGTTGATCTTTCCGTAGCTCCAATTCAGCCAAATTTTAATTTCTGGGATAATGAATGCAACTGCCTTTTACTACGAGATCCCACTGGTGCAAGGTAAGTAAAAGGTGAAATTGAATTCTGATTTTGTTTCTATAGAAAATATTTGAAGGTGAATGTGCAGTTTGTAGTAAATTTGTATTGCGAGTATTTGATGTCAAATTGATAATTTTCTTCCATAAAAAAAATAATTTAGTTTCATAGAATTTTTTACCGTAAATTGTCAATCCAATAAAATACTAATAAGAAAATATATTTGATTTTAAAATGCAAACATTTATTACTAATTTCATTGCGGTGGGATCAAAAATTTCAAATTATAATTTTATAGTCAACTTATTCTGAACTTTCTACTCGGCATCGAAAGTGTTTCACACAGGTCTGAAGCGCGTGCGCATTGAAGCGAGCGCCATATTGAAAATCACTAATATCATTTGTCAGTAGTCTTCAGAGAAACGGAGTGAAAATAAGTGTTGAGTGAAGTGGTGGAAAAACTTAAATTTTCCGGCTTCAAAATGGCTGGGAATCAGGGAATGGAATCTCTAATTCCTATAGTGAATAAATTGCAAGATGCTTTCACACAACTGGGCGTTCACATGTCATTGGATTTGCCGCAAATCGCGGTCGTGGGCGGACAATCGGCTGGAAAAAGTTCCGTTTTGGAGAATTTCGTTGGAAGGTACTGGGGAATGTGATTTTATGATAAATTAAAAGATTTTTGGGGCCTTTTGCGACCTTTGGATCGATATGATAAGCCCGAAAGCAAAATGGTGTAAGCTGTCAAAACATGTACGTTTGACAGATCAATTCTAAGGGAATGCTTTTCGATCGGCCTATTTTCAAGATACATATATCCATCTTTATATATATATATATATATATATATATATATATATATAAACTGCGAAGCATTAAAATTTAAATATTATTCAGTAAGTGTAAATAAAAAGAATTTCTTTAAAAATTATTTATGATAATGAGATCTTCAATAACCAAAACTAAATAGGGGCGCATGACGTCATTATGTAAATATACATATATATGTATATATATATATATATATATATATATATATATATATATATATATAATAGGCAAGTGCATAATATACATGTGCATATTTAAAGATAATGCAGCTAAACATGAATCATTGCGAGACTGCACACCACTTGCTTGTGCAGACAATAAACCAAATTAAATTGTAAATTGATGTTGTCAAAACTTAACTTCACTTTCACCTTTAATTTCCTAACTTTCCTTGATCGAAAAGACACAACAGATAAATCAACGTGAAAACATATTTTGGTCAAATTTGTTTGAATGGGCTTCAGCATTATACAATTTCTTGGAAATTGTGCATTTTCTATATACTGCCTTTTCCTGATTCATCCTGCAATTTATATACATTTAGAGTAGCTACCTGCAATAATAATCATTGACACAATCAATGTACAAAATATCTTTGTCCAAATTCTTAAACAGGTTTAGCGTTATACATCTCTTGGAAATTTTACATTTTCTATCAGTTTATATATGCAATCTCTTATCCTATCTTAACTCTTATTTTATTTAAATTTAATTAGCTACTACAATAATAGACATTGACACAAAGAATGTAAAAAATATTGGAGAGCAATTTCATAAATATCTTCTTTGTTAAGTTTATGGTTGTGCTTACAACGCTTGTATTAATTATTCCAGTTATTTTAGTTTGATAATTAAGTGCATTTAATTAAAATTCAATACTTTGTAATTCAACGATGATTTTATTAGACATCAATATTTTTTGTATATACAATCATGACAATCTAACTTGGAGCTAATTCGCTCCAAATATCTTTGTCCAAATTCTCAAATGAGTTTAGCATTATACATTTTCTTGGAAACTTTCTAACTGTTACAGTCTCTTTCATCTTATTGTTTATTTCTTCCAGTAGCACAGAACATCGATGATTCATCTCAATTCTTGAGTATTTCATCTGAATTTTTGTTTAAATTTAAATTATATAATAATAATAATAATACACTAAATATATATACAAAATCTTCAAAGAAATCAATATCATATGCATGCCTTGTTCTCAATTGTACAATGCTGCTTAATAGTTTAATTAAATCTTACAAAAGTGTATTCATGGTTGTACAAGAAAGTTTTCTCAAACTAATCAATTTTGTTAATCGAGCTAAATTCATTATCTAATACAACATACTATCCATAATGCTATCCGTTTATTGTATTACAACGTATTAATTACATATTACTTGAAGTGATTAGATTATAGGTATCTGAATTTCAAAATCATATATAACTCCAATATGATGAATCATCTATAACTCGAATCACATATAACTCGAAAGGTGCAAACAATATTGCAATTACCACAATCATGTAGAGTAATAGCAATCAGTTTTTATCCTGGTTAATTCATATTAATTATTATTAGAACTACATATAATAAAACAATGTGAAAGGCCTTATCACAGTTCTTGGAGTTATTTGAATGTGTCGCTCGATTTAGTATTTTATATTACATTGCAACAAGTAAAATAATATAATTTTCTATTATAGTTCTATATTTCAATTGTAATACAGAGGTATTGAATAACCTATTGATTGAAAAGTGAATATTACTTTTATTTTTTATATTGAAATTATTATAAACACCTTTCAATATGTAAGGTAAATGTTTTTGTCGAGCAAGCCCTTCCACACCTCATCATATATCGAGGATAGCTTGAAAATGATAGTTGCAAGGATATTGTACTTGGACATAAATTTATATTATCTAATATAACTGTAATAACAATTAGAATTTTGTTCATATCCTTAATTAATTTTCACCTCTATTTTGAATGATTTTTTTTCTTAAAAATTATATGCTATTCAGATGGAATATATATTAATGTTTTTTTTTTTGCTATTATACAGTTTGAGTAAATGTTTTAAACATTCTACTTCATCTTTAAAATTTCCATTGATTAATTTTCACTCTATTGCTTTTAATTTTTGGTATTCTATTTATTTAGTGCTAAAATTGTATACAAAAATATAATTCTTTTAATACTACAAATGGTTTGCATGTTATCAGAGTAACAATATTTATTGATTATTTGAATTCCTATCTTATATTAATTAGTCTGAAAATCTCACTCTAATCAAATATTCGATCAAATCAAAATTCTGTGTAATAACATAAATATTAATCACGGTTAATTCAAACTATCTTTTGATTACAAAATTCTTCTATATAAAACAAGAGATTGTGTACAAATGTTGTGACTCAAATAAATATATATATTACTGAT